CCCAGTTTTAGTGATAATAATCATGGTTCCTAAAGCATCCCACCAACACACACGAAGTCTAAAATTTCCTATAACTCCAGGTTAAACTCTTGCCTGTATACACTGAGTCCTGGTGTTTTCTTCCAGTTTGAAACAAACATCAAAGACAGGGAGCATTAATTCAAACCATTTTTTTCCCTATAACTACATGGAGTCACACTCAAGGCCAGGAATCTTCTTTTCCAATCATCTGTCAAAATCCTCATGAAGACATTTTGCTCGAGACGCTCGAGGAAGCATGTCCATATCACAGTCAAGATGCAGACCACACTTCTTAACCACATGCTGAGGCAATGGAAAATAGAACAGCAAGACACTTTTGCATGACTTTAGGCAATTACAACATACACCACAGCTTAATCGCAAAGCTTTATCTAAGGATTGGAAATCATCACAGACGCAGACAGCTACTGACGAAACACGGAAAAGGCTTGCTGCAAAGGCGTTTCCTCACATGGTCTTTACAAAAAATGTCAGTGGTATGTAGTGGAAAGTCAGTTACTTAATGTGCATGCGTGTTTTCTGATTCTTCACTTTATTCAGAACCCAGTATCATCCTCTGGGTTTCCATTAAAAGCAGCGAAGCAGTTTAGGCTGAGGAGTGTGAATACTACTGCAGGGATTTTAAGCTCAGGAAGGAAACTGAGCACAACACGAGCTACATGTCACGAGTGTGTGAGCTGTGTACGTTTACATCTTTGAAGCAAAATATAAAGAAAGACTGATCAGAACTGGAACTGAGTGGCTCAGACTGCCTTGGAATAATTAAATGGTACATAGTTCACATGATAGTCTGCAAACTTGAGCACCATCTACTGGTAGTAACAGAACCTCAAGAGGTTCAATCTAGCCTGGAAAGGCAGGAGGAATAAGGGGTATATAAAAAATAAGCTATTAAATAATGTATGCATACTAAATGGCAGGATTTAAAGACTGCAATGATTTTTGCCTCAGATTAAAGAATGAACGCATGAATCAAATTCAATGTTCTTTTTTTTTTTT